TTAGGTCAGTTAATACGCAGAAACAAAGTGTCCTATCATAACTATGCAGACGACACTCAGATCTATGTCTCACTGACTGCAGGAGAACATGGACCAGTGGACTCACTCCTTCACTGTATCCAACAGATCAGTGAGTGGATGCAAAACAACTCCCTTCAGCTAAACGCAAACAAAACTGAAATGATTGTCTTTGGTCCCCAGAAACAAAGAGAGAGCGTCATCTGTCACCTCCAGTCTCTCTCCCTAAAACCTTCAAACCAGGTCAGAAATCTAGCGGTAATGCTGGACTCAGACTTAAATTTTAATAGCCACATCAAATCAGTAACATCAGCAGCTTTTTGCCACCTAAAAAACATTGCCAGGATCAAAAACATAGTGTCTAAAGCAGACCTGGAGATTCTTATCCATGCATTTGTCTCCAGTAGGTTAGACTACTGCAATGGCCTGCTCACAGGTCTGTCCAAACAGGCTGTAAAACAGCTGCAGTACATTCAAAATGCAGCAGCTCGAGTCCTGACTAGAACCAGGAAGTACGACCACATTAGTCCAGTGCTCAGGTCTCTGCACTGGCATTTGCAACCAGCAGGACAGGTGCATGTCTCCTCCACAGTCTGTGCTTCCAAACGCGCTGGAAACAGAAAATCCCGAGCTCCCACCGCGGATTAGTCCTGGACAGTCTTCGGGGGCTCAGGAAAGCGCGTCGGGGATGTCGATTACGCAAAAGGATGCTGAGCCCTGATTGTAAACACTCCATTATCAAATGCATTGCGCGGCCTGCAGAGAGAATGGATGTGTATCTGTCAGTTCTGGCTCTCCTCTCATCATATTTAGCTCCGTGTGCCCTGGTATTGTCCTGCTTCAGCCCCGGTGGTGGCTCGCCGGGGCTGGGTGTTACTTAACCGAGCAGGTGCGCTCCACATTCGTCCTGGAGATGGTTGAGGCTGCTCCATTATTGGTAATAGCAGTGTGTGTTCTGGTGCTACTAGCTCCTGCCCAATGAAAACACAACGCGGTCATTTATAGGCCTGAGATGCGAGATTATGTTTATTTTAGTGAACAGACGCATCTGCTCCGGTGCCTTCTGAGGACATGAGTTCACGACTGTTTGCTGTGGCGTTTGGACTAACATTAAAGCTGGTTATCTCACTTTTTTTCTTAAATAATTTACGTTGATTCTCCCAACAGAGTCTTTCAAAACGTAAGTGTGAACAAATCAGAGCACATTGTGCTGTCTTCATCTTATTAGAAAGTATGTTTTATTTTTTGTAGTCTTCACTCACAGTTTTTACTTTTCTGTCTAAACAAGCTGATTCTAAGATGCACCAAAGCCAAAGTACATGCATGTGAAAACTACTGCTGTGGCTGCAGTAGTTGTTTATCACCATTGTGAATGGAGTGAACGAATTATGGCATGTGGAGCGTCTTTGAGAATCTAAAAAAGTGCTGTATAAAACCAATGTATTATTATTATTGTATTGATATAGAAAGTTAGGTACCCCAGCTTTAGATTATATATTAACGTCACTTCATCTCTCGTAATACTCATTATTGGGGTCGGTTTTTGAAGCCACTTCATTGTAGAGGTCCTTCTGAGAATAGGGCTATTTCTATTGATGGATTGACTACTTTTTCTTTTGGATGTCTGTGATGGTTTTGTGTCTAGTCGGCAGTCTTCATGATGGTGAACTCCACTGAACCAGACTGAAACCATTTAAAGTTTCAGGCTCCCTCTGCAGGTGCATTGGATCAGTTAGCTGATGACAGGAGGACACTTGTCCCATAATGAAGTTCCTTGTCCCAATATAAACATCTGAGATTTTGAATTTGGGAGTTTTCAAGCTGCAACCCTGTTCTGATCTGGTTCTGAATTCAGGACCTTCTTACTGAGAAGCTTACTGAAGTGCGAACCACTGAACCACCATACCGCCCGTTTAGTTAAAGCTTTGGTTATTTATCTGAAAGTGAATTAATGTATGTGACATTTGTATTACTGTGATATTACTGTGATAGTCAATCACTCATATGGATATTTGTTGTCTGAATTGGTAATTAATTCAAACATTTTTAAACTTACATAGACATAAAACTTACATACTGGGAAGAGGTTTTATGACTGCAGAGTGTGTGTTCTCGGGGGAAGCACTGGAGCTTTGTTTGGATCAAATGTATGAAAAAAAAAAACTTTCCTAACGATCAATTAAAGTGAGATTTGTGGGAACTTTTCAATTAAACAAAAACAACTAGTTGATCAATAATGAATACACAAGTAAAGGTTCAAGATTTGTTTTGCCATTTGCAGTAAAACCACATTGGAAAAACTGTGCAAGACTACCCCAGTGTGCACCAGACAGAGAAGATGGCTCTTGATTGTTTCGTGTGATTGTAATCTCCAGTCTGAGCTCCTCCACATGCAGCCTGGATGTACTACCCACTAGATTTCTAAAGTCTGTTCTGAGCTGTCTGTTACCTTCACACACACAGATAGTAAAATTCTGGAATA